GCTTTTTAACCCTTGCTTAACTCTTAAAAAGCGAAAAATTCCTTATGCAAAGGAGGCCCATAGTTCTCTACAGTTAACACTAAGTCACTGTGACTTGGAGTCTGGAAGCAACTACCTTGCCTTTTTTAATTATTTTTTTTAAAAAATCTTTAAAATTCTTTCCTTTTTCTCATGACTGGTGAGGCCACGCCTCCCCTGCCTCTAGTGACTGCACGTCCCTGCAAAGGATAGTATCAATACTTGAAGGATATAGAAGAAAAGCTGATAAAAACCCCACATGAAGTTTGTTTAAGATCAGGAAATTTAAAGAGAGAAACTGAAGGCTTTATTTTAGCGGCTTAGGAACAAGCTTTGCAAACTAATTTAATGAAGGTGAAAATTTAACATGTAACAAACAACAGCAAATGTTACCTTTGTAACAAAAAAGAATGTAACAAGTCACCATTTGATTGTCTGGAGCAAAATTTGACAGATGGCTACAAGGAGCTTCATGACCGTGTTGCCAAAATTATTCATTAGAATAAAACTTTGGGACCATCAATAGCAATAACACTTAGACTTATATTTAGTTTAGATTAATTTAGTTTACTTTATTGTCATTGCACCTGGTACAACGAAATTAAATGCCATATATAAAAATAAAACATAAGCACACCCTTCACATTCTATACAATTGAATTGAAAAACCATAATATTGCCATTAATATTGCACTATACAGTAGAATTCAAAATAGTTATTGTTCTGCGATAGAAGCTGTTTTTCAGCCTATTTGACTTTGTTTTTATTATCCTGTACTGTCTGCCAGGTGGTAATAGTTCAAAAAAAAGGATGCCCAGGATGAGATGGATCTTTAGGAATGTTTTCAACTTTCTTAAGGCAGCAGGAGCTATAAAGCTCTTCCAAAGATGCCGCTTCATGGTGCTTTACAGCCCTCTCTAAGTGGGTTACAGAGTTAGCATAGCGTCCCCAACAATCTGGCTCCTCATTTTATCGACCTTGGAAGGATGGAAAGCTGAGTCAATTTTGAGCTGTTCAGAATTGAACTTCTGGAGTGTCAGATGAGGTAGCCTGCAGTACTGCCTTCTAAGCACTGTGCCACCACGGCTTTCCTTTTCAAGCTGAGAAGGTTTTGGAGTCCTTCGGGATTGGGCGGCATATAAATTCATTAAATTTCAATTTCAATTTCAAAATGAACGGGTTAAGATGGGT